TTTTGGTCTTTTGTCTTTTTCCGTGTCCGGCAACGGATCGCAACCCTCAGTGTTGCCCCCGTACCGGACCGGGGACCGGCAACGGGATCGCAACCCTCGGTGTTGCTCCCGTGCCTCGCTCAGCCAGTGAGCAGGAACCGGTCTGTATGTGGGATCCGAACCCTCGGGCGGGAGCGCCGCCGCGCTTCCCAAGCGGCGCACTATCCAGTGCGCCACCAGGCCGGCCCAGGATAAATGCATTTTTGAGAAGTGTCAGAACCAAGTTGAAGTCAAGTCTTATGAGTAAAGATAAAAATAACAAATATAAGGAAAAGGAATAAACACTTGAATGCTAAAGTGAGGAAACTAAATATATATGAGTGCTTCAAAAGTTTGTGGGAAAATGGAATTGAAAGATAATACAAATCTTTCAATGAACTTTTTGAAGTACCCTCGTAGATGGTAAACTAGATTAAAGGCTATTTCGAAAAAGCAGTTGTCAGGTGATTTTTAGTAATGGCAATAGGCTGGGATAACTACATAATTTCCTAGATGATCTCAAAGATTGGGTCTAGCTTGAAGCTTCTGTGCTCGTGAGATTTTTATAGCCTTAAAATAAGAGTATATATATATATATATATATATTTTTTTTTTTTCTCCTAGTAAGTTTTTCCTTATAATAAAAATGGTAATACTGATTTAATGGAAAGACAACAAATTTGAAAGTGGTTGTAAACACATAATCTGCTACTAATCATATCATTTCAAAGCAGTTCTAAAAACTCTAATTTAGTAAACATTTTCTTTTCGTATCAGGAACAAAACCTCAGAGCAAGGTGTATAGCACGTGCATTTCTGTACATATTTATATTCCATATTTAAAGCATGTGTTTTACTACATATTAAAGAACATTTTGCTATTATTTAATTCATTTCATGCTTTGCTACACATAGTATTCCACAATCCCACCACTCTGAGACTTGGAGAACATGTCTCTCACTTTCAAAATATACCTAAAATAACAGTTTAACAGCTTGTGTATGCAAAATAGCAATAGGAAAACTGACAAGTTGAAAGAACAGTTGCCTAACAAATGAAAATGTCCAAGCTCTTAAAGTCATAAACTCTGACCTTTAGGTTTTTTAAAAGAAAATGTGTTTACCCACACACGCGCACACCAGTTTAACCAAAAACACATTTAAAACTTTAAAACTGGGCATGTGTCTCTTAATAATATTATTAATGGGGTTCATTTAGGGATAATTTAGAAAGATCAGATAAGTTTAGAAAAACATTAGAAAAATGCAAGCTATTATATCAAACTGATCTGGATACTTCTAATTTTAATAGCTTTTCCTGAGAGTTCTGGTTGTATTCAGCTACTGTTCTTTTGAGAGACAAACGTGGTCATCACAGTTTGTTTCTAATAAAGCATGGGCTGTCTCACTCTTTAGTTAAAAGAAATGCACAAGGATAATATAGAGTTATTTTTCCCAATTAATCTGTCCTAGAAGAGGTTGGTATACAATGATTTCGATTTGAGAAAAATAACCAAAAAAAAAAAAACCATGAGAAACTAGGTTATCAATCACATACTCCTTATTAAAGAAATTCTTGTTTACCTCACATGGTCCTGATCCAATCTTTTCAGCCCCAGCACATATTTCAGACTCATTCAGAGTCACCTTCCCTTGATGATGCTGGCTGCATTTCTCATTATCCATAATATACAGATGTGCGACTCGTAATAGACCATCAGAGTTGATCACTAGAATAGTGCGAAAAATATACAGTTAGAGAGCACAAGGTAGGGTGAGAAAAATAAAAAACAAAGACAAGTGTGTTTTTTTAAAATAAAATAAAATAAATATTGCCTCATCTTTAAAAAACTAGCTTACATCCAGTGTAACCCCAGCCATAGACACTGCAAGTGGTCTTTTCTGGAATTGTGCATCCATAATTAGGTAAATCAATTGTACTAACAAAATCATCCAGGACAGCGGGCCTGAGGAAAAAAAAAACACAATGGTAAGTACTTTCTTCTGGATTCAACACAAAATTAACATATTAAAATATAGTGTTCATGTTTAATATGACATTTAGAGAGAAGAGTCTTGTTTCTTAAAAAAACAGAAAAAAGAGAAAAGGAACATCTGATATGTCAAATGATGAAATGTGGAGTAGGTAGTAGATCAATAGAGTCGCATATTTGCTAAGATTTAAGAATAAATGGTCAAGCTATTTTTTTAAAAAATCATTATTTTACATTTTAAAGGTATCCAATAATTGCTCACTAAGCTTCAGTTTTACTTCATTTATTCCTTTTTGAAAATGTTGCAAATATCTTCCTCTATGTATGTGTGTGTGTTTGTGTGTGTGTGTCTGTGTGTGTGTGTGTGTGTGTATATATATATACACACACATACTTATATATGTAACATTTGGCATATGTTTTTATAATAAATCTATATGAGAGAGAAACAATAGCCACACAGTTGAAGAAAATACTTCAACAATTCTAGTCTAGATTAAAATTACAAAATTTTCTAAAGGAACTAACCTGGCAAGCTTCAGTAAAACCAGATCAGAGCCTTCGGGTCCATACACCAGCTGAGAAACATTGAGAACCTGTTTGCGTTTCTCATCTCCTCTTCCATGAACATCATGGATTCCAAGCCAAGCTTCATAATCCTTCAAGTCTTTGTTTCTAAGTAAAATTTAAAATGTAAAATATAATACCACATTGTTTAATAATATTCATATATATTGTCATTTTTGCTTATAAGGGCAGAAAAACAACCTATATTCAAAATTTAATTCAATGTATAATAAAGAGCAACACATTTGTTATGGGATTTTTGAAAACTACAAGCATACATAGGCAGAAAAAGCTTTAAAATTGCTGGAATTCTAAATAATTATTTTTTAAAAAATTAATTATGATTGCTAGAAAGTAAGTCACTTGTAAAAATTCTAAGATAAAGCATTTTGCATGAATTATAATTTTACTGAAAATTCTGCTTTATTTATCTCAGCTGTGTGTGTATACATTTGGTTTGGTGATGAAGGCTGAAGTTTTACACAAAAAAAAATCAAAGTGAGGGCCGGCCCGGTGGTGCACTGGATAGTGCGCCGCTTGGGAAGCGAGGCGGCGCTCCCGCCCGAGGGGTTGGATCCCACATACAGACCGGTTCCCGCTCACTGGCTGAGCGAGGCGCGGGGGCAACACCGAGGGCTGCGATCCCGTTGCCGGTCCCGGTCCGGTACGGGGGTGACACTGAGGGGTGCGATCCGTTGCCAGACACGGAAAAAGACAAAAAAAAAAAAAAAGATGACCGGTAGGGCCGGCCCGGTGGTGCACTGGATAGTGCGCCGCTTGGGAAGCGAGGCGGCGCTCCCGCCCGAGGGGTTGGATCCCACATACAGACCGGTTCCCGCTCACTGGCTGAGCGAGGCGCGGGGGCAACACCGAGGGCTGCGATCCCGTTGCCGGTCCCGGTCCGGTACGGGGGTGACACTGAGGGTTGCGATCCGTTGCCAGACACGGAAAAAGACAAAAAAAAAAAAAAAATCAAAGTGAGCTTGATGAGAACCAACAGTAAGCTTGTAAATGCTGCCTCCTGATCTTTTCCTTAGGCTAATTTTTATTGAAATTATGCTCAGGATGATCTGAGGTTGGTTCTACCTGGAAAAGGACAAGTGAGGGTTGAGAGAAGTCTGTGGATAATTCAGAAAAATAAATTCTATCTGGAAATATAGGGTGCAAGTGGGAGATTGGGATATAAATTTATTTATGTAATTCTAGCAAATTTTTCCCCCAAGTGAGAGTAATGTTAAATATGAAAAGAAGTGAACTGATGTACTACTGAGTAAGTAAATATCCATAGAGTCAAACTAAGTTTTATAAGCTAAATTTAAAAAATAAATTCATTTCTTCACCCCTTGCTGTTAAATCTCTGTAAAAATGAATGCACATTCCAATCTTAAAAGCTAACTGGAAGGCATACGTATTTTTAAATGCTCAAAACAAATATTAGTTTCAAAAATACTTTACCGTGAGGGGAAACACTGTCTTGCCGTAAGAACCCAACTTTCCTTTATCAATGATCCTCCGCAGATATGTTTATTTCTATGAAAAAGAGGAAAGAGAAACAAGTAATATCTGTGCTGAGAGAGTGCCTGCCAATTAATGCAAAATCTGTGGCTCCATTTGTCAAAAATAAATGCACTGGAGACAAAAATATAGAAATTAACCCAACTTGAATAAAATGAGTAGTCCTTTTATTTAAAGGGTAATATTTGGTGATTTCAGCATTAACACTTTTTTTCATAATGTGACTACAATTTTACAAAATCACTTTTACTTTTGTGTAGCTTAAACAACTCAGTCATTACACACCAATATTCATTCACAACATACATAGGAGTAATCTCACATGTGCATCTATCCTGGTGAAAGTATATGCTACAAATAATAGAATTATAAAACATTGTGGACATACTTTGAATTCAGCGATCGATTATGAAAAATGCATATATGAGCTCTTATTTAAACCTGGTAAACCATCCGTGTTTAGCAATATATGTTATTTATACATTATTCCCTTCTTTCACTATCATTATTTAGTTTTGTTATGTTAACTTAAAGTATAATTGAGTTTGAATTAATTTGTTTGTTCAGTGTAAGACCAGCAATGTAATATTTCATTTATTAAAGTAAAACAATTTTGCAATACAAATCATCTAGGAAATTGTAAAATATTTGTAGAGAATAGTAGTACTGGTACATTTATTTGCTAATATCTAAAATCTGTAAATTCATTCTTTTTTTGGCAGAGACATGGAAAAAGTACAACTTTTCACAATCTACATTTCCAAAGAGTACAGATATTCAGTGGTTCAGAGGGTAATACTAGAAGATTCCCAGAATAATACCACAGTTATTTATGACCTTTACCACACAGGAGGATAAGAGTATATATCAAGTTTTAATTTCCATTTCTCTCAATATGTATCTTGGAAGAATAACTAAACAGCTGTTGTTACTAAGAACTTGGATTTAAAAGGGAAAAAAACTTCTAAAAGTTTATAGTACTCTGATCTGATGAAAAAGGATTTCACCTGCTTCTCCAAGAGTGGAAATTAACAAAGAAATATTCTTGTACATTTCCTTGTTGGTAAAATTAATTCAGATATGTCTTTCTTTTCCCCTCTGGGGTTATAGGGTTAGCAAAGAATCACTAACTCAGACATGTGGATTCTTGGAACATTTTTTATAATGAAGAAAATTAAACACTCCAAAAAATTTTATAGTGTTTATTAAATCTTCAAGTTACACAGTCAACTTTAATATGCTGGTCACTTTCACAGTTCCATTTCATTTTTTTTTTTTTGTCTTTTTTTTTTTTTTCGTGTCCGGCAACGGACCGCAACCCTCAGTGTCGCACCCGTACCGCGCCGGGACCGGCAACGGGATCACAACCCTCGGTGCTGCGCCCGCCCCTCGCTCAGCCAGTGAGCGGGAACCGGTCTGGTATGTGGGATCCGAACCCTCGGCGGGAGCGCCGCCGCGCTCCCAAGTGGCGCACTGTAGCAGTGCGCCACCGGGCCGGCCCCACAGTTCCATTTCAATATTACACACCTAAGACAGCTACACTACAATTATCAGCATAAATATGTATAAAATCTGATGTTACTCCTTAAGGAAATGTACTAAAAGAGAACTTCAGACCATCTCCTACAACATTATGGTCATCTAAAGCAGAACACGTGAAAGGATGTAAACTCCTGCTTGCCAAGAATTGGCTTGTTCATAAAAGAACTTCAGTCTCAAGTTGTCTCTATTCTATTTTAATGTCACTGTGATTTAATGATAGTTGAAGATATTCTTTCTTCCTCTACTCTAGGAGGCTAAGGGTGAAGCAACAGGAAATGTTTCCTAAAAGAGGAGTTTTTCAAGTTGGGATTTGGAGAATGAAAAGGAATTTTCAGGATTAAAAAGTGGAAGAAGAAAGCCAAAACATGCAGTGGGGAAAACAGACCTGGAAAGAGAAACACAAGAGCTTGGAAAAGAAACATGGGGTATCTAGAAAACAGGGAAAACGTGGCTAGATTCAGGTGCGTTTTGGGGCATGTTGCATGATGAGGTTCCGATAAAGATACACAGAGACATAGATATTTTAGTACTATGTCATAAATATGTCATAAAATATGTCATATTTTAGTATTTTTCATACAAAATAATATATGTAGTATATGAAAAGTTGTAAGATCAGATTTTACATATTCTCAATATTTAATCCTTAAGACATAATTACTAAGCTTAATTTTCTACAATAAAATTTGCAAAGTGATTTCATGTAGAACACCATTGGTTTTTAAGAGAAATGAGAAATAGACATGTCAAGAATTTTTTATCCACACTGATTATTGTAATATCAAGACTATTCACCTATCAATATAGTTTGTTAATCTTTGTCATAATGATAAAATACTCTAGAATTTAAAATGGCCTTTTTTCAGTTGGATGATAAAGTCAGAAGTTAAAAACAAATACAAAATTTCTGATATGATTATGCACAGACATGTCAGAAAATAAAGTCATAATATCCTGGATTAGAAAATTAATAATACATATATTATAACTATTATGGTAATATTCAGGTATAAATAGATCCTCTTTATAATTATCTTCTGCTTAATCAGAACCAAAGTGTCACTTGGAATCAGGGACAATGCCAACACATATGGGACCTCTGTGAACATTTAAAAAGGCACTACTTCTGCAGGACAAATTGCAAAACCCAGAGCTTGCAGTTTGACAAGCAGAATGTGATGAGTCCCCTCTTTTACCTCCTCAGCTGGGTGTCCTGTGAAGTGCACAAACTTCATGACCAGATGTGGCCACACTTCTGGGATACGACTTATGGAAATAGTCTGAATATGTACGATTTGTGTCTATTAATAATTACCTGTATTTCAAACTAACCATCCATCCTACATTAGTTCGTGTTGGAATCCCATTTACAACTCGCAATTGTTTTGTTTTGGCGCAAGATATTACTGGATCTGAAAACAGAAACAAACATAACATTTTCACTTATTTTGAAATAGTAAGTGCCTCTAAGTTTTCCTAAACGCAATGATAACTAGACAAATGTAACTACTGTAACTGTGCCAGAAGAACATTTCGGAAAGGGCTAACTATTGTACTCAGATGAGCACAGTGCCATATCAAGCCCCATCCGCATTTTGTTGAGCTACACAGAAAAACTAATCAACTCAAGGCAGACAGGATTGCCGTGAGAATGACAGTGGCTTTGCTTACCATGCACTAAGACCAAATTCTTCCAGGTCTAACCCTAATGTATTTTCCTCACCAACCTCAACATAAAATGAAACAATGTTATCTATAGGGGTTATTTCTAAATTTCAATAGAAATCAATAGCCTGAGTGAAACAAAACAAAACTATATTTGGTTATTACTTCTGAATTTTATGGTAAAAATATAGAGCTATTTTGAAACCTGTTACCAACATTAGTTTTTTGAAATTGTATCCAAATGACATAATTATTATATCCAAATCATTATGTTCAAATAATATAATACAGAATTATTTGGAGTAAACATTTTCCTGACCCTCTTCTGTGTTTCTCACCCTATCCTTTCTGACTCTGTCCATGGTCTAGAGGAGATTTCCATTTGCTTCCTCAGCCTGAGGCACAGCAGGAGTGTCTTTTTTAAAAACCAAAGCACTTGAGTAACTCCTTCAACCCAAGAAATACATGAAAATCAAAACAAACAAACAAAAAACAAAACCCAAAACAACAACAACAAAAAACCAAACAGCTCCCAACAGATTCTTAAACTGAGAATTAACTGAATCTCTCAGAGTGTGTCATCTTTTGCTTTATAGACTACAGGGCATGCAGAGCTTTGAAGATAAAGCAGAATAAAGGCACTGAATAACTTTCCAATCATTCTTTCTGACATAAGCATCCTAATTTTATCTAAACGGTGGTGTATATAAAGGTGATCCATTATATACATTGTGCTGCAAATTAGAAGTAAATATAAATGCTCTTTTCAAAATTATATATAACACCTTATAGATTTTCTGACAGAGAATTGAATTTCGATGCTCAGAATGCAGCCAGCTGTCTTTAAAACTCCTTTACACCTACACGTAGGAAAAAAAACCACATTATTAAAACTGAAAACAAGTAGATTAATTTATTTTTATGGATGGAAGTTAATGTAGTGATAAGATAATTTTCTATAAAAAATGACATCATTTCTGACACATAGAAACTCAGACGCACTTTATATTTTGAAAGATTACTTACGGTCTAAATTGACTATTGTAGGTGTGGTATCTCCTTCACCTGTAAAAATAAATATATAGATACATACATAATTCATATATACATATTTCTGTTATATAAAATCAAAACTATATATTGAAATCCAAGTTTCCATAAATTGGATAATTTACTAAAATTCTTGACATTTTATTCAAAGATAAAATATAATAGTGCTTTTTTGAGTAGTTATATATCACTTTTACTGGATAATATTGTAGGTGCATGCCTACTGGAATTAGGTGATATGAGGAGAGCCCTATTGTATTTTATTTTGGTGTATGTAGGCTCTCGGGTGTGTGGTTTGATGATAACTGGCAGCTTGAATTAGGCTGCTAGCTGCAAGGAGCTGACTCCTTCTACCAATGTGCCTAACACTGTACACGTGGACATTCCACCAAATAGGACTCATGCTCATTATTGTTTGCTTGGACTCTTCCTATAAATACACCGTTTTGTTTTTACTATAATTTGAACCATTTAATTTCTTTCTGAAAACTACTTTCATTTTTATATGGTTGATGATAATTGAAACTACACATTTCGGAAAGCTCTGCAAAAATTCTGATGTCACTGATGGAAAAAGAAATATAAAAAGGATAATTGTTTTGTTGTTAGAATATTTTAAAGATTGTTTTTTCCAGACACTAGTCAAAATAAAATGTATGAAAAAAAAAGAGAGAGAGAGAACACTGAAAACTGAACATTAATTCTAACTAAAACCTCATAACTTACTCCTTTTTCATAATCTTTCAACTGAAATTTATTTGCTGCAAAGAGAAACGCATGAAAGATGCTAGGATTTGGAAATACTTATGCAGTAATGAATGAGACACAAAGCATTGCCTGGAACTTAATGTCTGACTTCAAAACTGATGGCAGAGTCCAGTCAGGAGCTGTATAGGCACAGATGGTTGTTAATTCCTGGAAATGCTCTGAGTTCATATAAACCAGCAACAAAACAATAATGGTATATGGATTCCATTGTAATAGATGCAAATTTGATTGTTATTTATGAGGATACTCAAGAGAATTAATACAAGCTAAAGGGCTTTTATTTATGTTCATTTTCCAGATCTAGGTAATTTAAATGAGTAAGGGTAAAGGCAAACATATAAATTCCATATTCTTGCTTCCCTTTAGCTTTCCCTGGGGGAGGGTATTGTTTTAGAGGCAGCTGAGGTCAAAATTTTAGTTCCTAGTACAAATTAGGATTGAGGTAAACTATGTCAATTAAACATCAGAGATATTTGTTTTTCACTCAAGTCAATTACTTGAAAATTTAAATAACTAGATATGTAGTCCTTATTTTGTGAGGAGCAAGACTACACTATTTATTCTAGCCTTAATTGCATATGAACTTTCCTATTTCTAAGCATCGGGTTAATACTTCAACAAAGTGCTTAGTTCTCTGTGGTATCTTTCTAAAAATATCTAAAGTTTTAAACATTTGTAGATATTATAAATTTGGGGTTTTAATAATCAATAGTAATATATATGTTTTACCTCCTGAAACCCAATATTCGTTACATTTTAGAATAAGGTGAAATACCATTTAAGGTCAGATTTCTGTAAATTCTGAGATGGTGGCTACATTCTGAATTTTTAAAAAGCACTCTAGGTTCTTCTGTTGTACACTTTGAATAAAACTTTGAGAAACTGTTCTCTAGGCATTTTCTATTTCACTATCAAATACTATTTTTACATCTCTTACTTTTCCCTCTATTTCTACCATACTATTCATTTCTGAAAAATATACATAATACAAATCTTATTTGTATTGGTTCAACTTAAATTTGAAGAAGAAAAACATGTCAATGATAAAAGTTTTACCTATGGAAGAGTAGGGGTGTGTGTGTGTATGTGTATTTGTATGGCCTCAGAACCAAACGTGGACTTTTACTAAAAACATAAATAAATCTTTCTTTTGCTACATTTTTAAAGCTTCAACTCAAGTTCAAAACTTTATGAATATCACATATTTCTCCAGGATGACATCTATGTTCCCATTTTTGGTTTATATATTAATGTGAATATATATTTATTCCATGATTATATTGTTTTACATAATTACATAATTAATTATTTACATATCTCCTGTATCTACTTTAAAATATTTGATGTTAAAAAACAGTATTTATATTTTTGTATATCTAGCATGTTTTATGGAGCTTTGCACAAGAGAAGAGCTCAATAAAAAATTACAAATGAATGAATAAACAAAGTTTTTGAGTGCTTACTATGGAACAGATACTGTTCACAATAATCCAATTAAATGGGTATTTTTATTGTACAATTTTAAAATGCAGAAAATGAATCATAAGTAGGTTAAATAACTTGCCCAAGGCACTTATAGAGTAATGGGACTGAAATTCTTACTCAGAAAGTCGGGGTTGAAGGTCTTAACCTCTATACTCTCAACAGTTAGTTAATACTTTAGATTTTTCTAAGACAGTGTGTGTGTGTGTGTGTGTGTGTGTGTGTGTGTGTGTGTGTACTTATAAACATATAGGCATTTCTATATTTTTATTTTTGCATGTTTGATGAGCTTATAAATACATGTTAAATATTATATTGTAAATATATTAGAAAAAGTTGAATTAAAAACTTTACATTTTATAAGACAAATGTACACTGTGAAAATGATTTATATAATTTCTGCAGTTAAGTAAATAATAAGAATTCAAATCTCCTGAAGACTAGCTTTTTATTAGCCTTTCATCAGGGAGAAAAATGTAAATAAATTCTAGCTATAAATATTAGTTAGAAAAATGACAGTGTAAAATATTTATTGAAATTAATGTTCAGTGTACATTGAAATAAAAATGAGGTATCTACAATAGCATTTAATCAAATACTGGCAACACCCTGAAGTCTTTCAACAGCACATTACTAGCTTCCAGTTTAAAAATATTAGTTGAAAATATTTTTTGAAAACTTTTAAATTATTAGAGTCCTGTCTCCATTAGTTAGGTTTAAAAACCAAGTCACAGTTCCCTCAGATTATACAGAAGCATTTTACTCTTATGTATTCATATGTGCTAGATTGAGTTACTATGATTTTTACAAATCTAAAATTCTGTAGGGAAAGCAATATAACCTATTTTAGAAGCCAGATTACTGACATTTCTTTCTTCCTAGGTCATTGTATATGCCGTGAGGCTCCATTATTCTTAATCATAGAGACTTCACCAAAAAGTACAGTGCTGTAAAACTAATATTTAGAAAAAATAATCATATTTTCATTTAAAAATATTTTTTGTTTGGCGTTCTCCAAGTGGTAGGTTTCTCCAAGTGGAGTGGTAGGTTTGCTTGTTTATCTGTTTCAGTGTTAAAACTTGAAAGACATCTTCCCTTGGAGAACATTTTGAAGGACTATGAAAATTCTGATATAGGAAAAGTGCAGAACATTAGAGAACACTAATTAATTTGAAAAGCTGTGATCGTAGATGATAAAATAAAAATATAATGATAGGAAATATCATTTTTTGCAAACATATAAGGTATTTAATTATTCATTATTATAAAATATTTCCAAGCCTATTAAGAGTAGGTTGAACAGTTCCAAGTCTTAATTACAGGTATACTTGATTAGTATCATATTTTAAAAATATAGACTCGTATTTGTATTTCATTTCTTTAAGCAACATTATTCATTCTTCAGTCTAATCTTTCTTTTTAAAGTGGATATGTTTGCTGCTATTCTCAAGGTACTTGCTACTGGCTTGTCTCACAAGAAAATTATTCTTCAAACAAGATTCTTATTGAACTTATAAAGTATACTATTTTTAAAGGAGGTAGTTTTAACACCACGATTAAGGACATTTGCTGTAAACAAAGATCTACAGATACCTTGTATAGTAAAACTGTCTCTTACTACCGACACAGCTTTATAAAAAGGCTTTTACACTTAGCAACATATTGAGGACATGTCCATCTTAATACATATTAATTAATTAATTCCATCTTCATGCATAGTAATATGGGGCTGATTTTGCTCCACAGGGGACGTTGGTAATATCTGGAGATAGTTTTGATTGTCATGACTAGGGTAAGGGATGGTGCTACTGCATCTAGCTAGGCCAGGGATGCTACTAACCATCCTCGATGCACAGAACAGCCTGCCACAACAAAGAATTATCCAGCCCAAAATGTAAGTAGGGCCAAGGCTGAGAAATCTTGATCTACATCAACATTATTATTGCTTTTGATACATTTTGCCAGACTGACTTCCAGGCAGAATTTTCAATTTACTCAAAGTAGCATAATATTGATAGAGCCAGATTATCCAACCCCTCACTAATATTGCATATTAACAATCATTTTATTTTTTGCCAATCTGATAAGTAGAAATGATTTCTTATGCTTTGTTAATTTCATTTTTTTCTTACTAGTAAGTTTTAATGTCTATTTATTTATTAACTATATTCTTGAAGATTCATTTTCTTCATATCTGTACTGAGTTCTCACATCTTTTTCTTATTGGTATATAGGGGCTCTTTTATATAAAGAATGTATGTATTTTATACGAAGTATATCAAACACATGTTGTATATTTCACATATGACTTTTACTTTATGCACTAATACCCTTATAACAAAGCCATTTTGGATTCAGAGAAGTGGGTGAAAAGCTCCAGTCTTTTTAGTCTTGAATTAAAAAACTGAGAAGGAGATGGAAGCACCACGATTTCAGGGCTGTTCATGCATCTTTTAATGGTCTGGGGATTTTGCTGAGAGATCTGCTATATTCAGAGGCTAAACAGGTAGTATTGGTGCTGGAGGTTGCAGCAATCTTTTTAGCCAGTCATATTAGAACTATGGCCATATATTGCTTCTGGATTCCAAACGGAAATCTTCTGAGGGAAGAAAATCCTCTTTAAAGAAGTTAATAGAATTTTTTCTTGTCTAGAATAGAGATGGGAAGAGAGAAGGAGAGAGAGAGAGTATGTGTAGTGTGTGTGTCTGTGTGTGTGTTGCTCTCTGGAGAGCATCCTCATTTGGAGATAAACTCCAGATCTCCTATATTATTTACACCTCTGATTAAGGTATCATTTTAGAGACGATGAAGTACATTTAAAGAAGAAGAAGATAACTAAATGCACTTACACCGAGAAATAGGGCAATAATCCCAAGGAATGAGAGGATTCCCCGTGTAACACCAGGGTCCATGGGCATCGTCATCAGGATTCCGGCAGTAGTTCTTATTCAGCTTACTAGCATCTGGTTCCCAGAAGATATGACTGCATAAACAACAAGCTCCCAACATCACAAGATGCTCATTCCATCCAAGAGAAACAAGATATTGTGAGAAGATATAATCCTAGCCACAAAGCTATTTTCATTGCAGATACAACACAAGCTTCTACTTGGTGTGATTTTTTTTTAGTTACTTTGAGATCTATTTTGTGGCTATTGTTCTTAAAGTTTGGAAGCACATTTTTCTAACTTGGGAATATGGTATAGGGCTCCATAATTAGCATATATAAAATGAGAGATTTGGGGACTTTGCTTCCGTTTAATAATTACATTGAATAATTAATAATTATTTAATAATTATAGTAGCAAGGTAACAATTCTATGCATAAAAATAAGGAAACATTGTCTAAAAGTGAGTAGATGGCAAAAAATAAAAATTATAAAATACAAAGAAAATACAAATTATTGTAAAAGTACTTTTTCACATTTCAGGCATATATGAATCATTACTAGCAGTACTACAACAAAGTCTAGAAAGGTACACTGAAAATTAATGATAATGTGCTAATGAAATAAAGTCTAAAATTTCACTGGTCATAGAGTTATAAAATATGATTTTCTGACAGATAACTGAGTAACACTTCAACCTTTCTAATTTATATCTTAACTAAATTTATTACAAAAGAAAAGCAAAAATACTGTGTGTTGTTTTATAAGACCATGTCTATTCATGTAACATCAACATTTACATTTACCTCAATAACGATGAAGTCAAATTCTACATGGCCACTCTAATCAAGTCATAAAAACTATATATCTAACTGAATTTGTTTTGCATTGTTGATTACTACCACGCTTGAATATAATTAATGTCATTTTAAATAAAATTGGAAAGAACTTGAACATGGAAACTTGGACTGTCTTTCCAGACCCAGGTTCATTTTCTGGAGCAATAACAATAGCAAACACATGTAGTACTTTCTACGTGCCAGGTTCTGCTCTAAGTACTTTATAGATATAACCTTAGATTAACCTTATGAGACAGGCTCTATGATTATGCTATATTACATTGAGGAAACTGAAATCCAGAGAGGACAATTCATTTGTCTGAGGTCACATGGCTTGTAAACAGCTGACTTGGAGTTTGAAGCCATAGCTGTTTCCAAAGTGAACGTTCAAAACCACCGTGCTCTACCTCCTCCTTAGTTTGTTCTTAAGTCAAAATGGTACCATGCAACTTAATCATTCATCAATTTCCTACAAATTGTTTCCAAATGGCTTTTAACTATTTCCAAAAGTCAAACCTAAACTCAGTGCATTAAAAGTTATTACTATTGAGGGAATCTAAATAAATAGATCGTGTATTTTCAGTGGCATGCTGATAAATGTTCAACAACTGCTACTCTGAGGGGGGGGTGTGGGGGAGGGTGCTGGGGAGGGGTCCTTTTTTGTAGCCCTTACTGATTTCTGTTCCACCATGAACATTTCAAGCTTCCAGTGTAAAATCACTGAAGCCAACACTGGGAGGAGATGAGAACAATTATTACGCCCAATTCTGTAAGAATAGGATCCACTCCACCTTACCACTGCATGTTTCTAAAAATGTTTTTGAAACAGCAGTGTTGAAATCAGCATTTAATTTTAATCATGCCAATTCTTGTTTAAAATCCTTAAATGAATCCTTTTAATTCTCAGGATAAAATCCAAACTTCTTAACTCAGTTTACATGGTTCACTATATGGTCCTGTCAACGGAGAATTCCTTCTCTGTGGGTATTGACCAAGTAACACCCTTTCAGCCTTACCAAAATTATTTCCTATTTTCAAGCACTGCAACCTTCGGGCCTTTGCACAAGCTATTTCTTCTGCCCAATGTGCTCTTCCTCCTGTACTTCCCTCAGGCAACTGTTACTCATTATGTATATCTCAGCTAATGTCCCTTCTTTTAGGAAGCTTCCTGATCATCTAAGTCTGGGGAGGCACTTCTTTGCTTTTCCCATAGGGAATAATATGTTATATCTCTTATGGTTTTTAAAATATGGTATTGATATTTCCTATTTGCTTGCATCCCGTACCAGAGCATGAGATCCATGAGGGCAGAACTCAGCTGATCATTGAAGTCTTAGACCTACAGTGTCCAATACAGGAGCTACTAGCCACATGGGGCTAGTCTAAATTCAGAGGTTCTGTAAGTGTAAATATGCACCAGATTTTTAAAATTTAGTATAGAAAAAAAAGTAGATTTCATTAATAATTTTCATATTGAATACATATCGAGTAGAAAAGCTTTAGATATAATGCACTAAATAAAAATACATTGGAATTAATTTTGCCTGTTTATTTTTCTGTCTTTAAATATGGCTACTAGGAAATTTAAAAGTACATATGTGACTTACTTTTATGAGTTTCATCGTATTTGTATTAGAGAGCATTGCTTTAGAACTATCAATATTTGTTTGTGAAGTAAATTAATTGAAACATTGTCATCCACTACTGAGTACATTTTGTAAGAGAATGAAGGCTTTAAAGTTAAAGTAAGGTTGAAGAAAGGTGACTCAATCTCTCTGAGCTCTTAAATTCTTATCCACACAGAAATATCTTCAATATAGGATTGTAGTTGTCAAATGACATAACAACTAATGTCAAGCAACACTGTTGCAAGCACTTATCAAATGACACGTCTTTTTTCTTTTATTCTAGTGCATATATTCTGAAAGGTTTACTAAAAATCTGTTTTAGGTCACAACTATGTCATACTTCTTTTCTAATTTTATAAACATTAGCACTATTGCTAGGTCCAAGTTGGATGCTACCTTCTTTGTAAATATATCCAATATAAAAATCTGTAATTCTTGAAAATACATAGATTTTTAAAAATTATGTATACATTCCTGTAATTATTGCAAAATTTTATGTATCAAAGCTATACAAAGAAACCTGTTTCTATAAGTTTGTAGCAGTTAAGTGAATATTTACAGTATATACATATGAAAATAATCATTTATTGATTTTTTTCATAAACTAAGAACATAATTCTATAACATGCACCATTTGAAACACCAGATTTGCCACTTAATTGCACACCATTTTATTAACTTATGTAATTGTTTTTTCAATGTGGCCATATCCTCCTTGAAGATTGGAGCCAAAATATGTGCCTACTTTTTATTGATGTTACCCCAGTACTAATTACAGTGCAGAACACATAGTAAGTGCTCAATAAATATGTGCTGAATTGAATTGCAAATTGAAGTTTGTTATAATGAGTTGTACAGAAACATCAATCTAATATTTTTATTAGCTTATTATGATATGTAAAAAATAGAAACAACAATGTATGTATCTGAATATACATACCTGTTGTTATCACTATATTCTACATACTAAAAGAAAGAAATTTACACACCGGTGTAGGTCTTCCATGTTCTTGTCCCACATCGAACACGTTAGTCCAGATCTCGTTTTGGATAAATTACCCATATAATTTTTGCCATTCCCACGATAACAATCTAGACATAAAATATATGGACAGAAGACTAATGAATATTAGGGAGAATAAAACAAAAACATTTTTACAAGCATATTAAGTCATAAAATCAACTTAAAAATAACAACAAAGCACTGTAAAATTAGTACAAATCAAAGAGACTTAAATATTTCACATTAAAGTATCTCTATTTTCACCCCAATTTCTTAATTAAAATGAGTCTTATGCTAATTCAAATATTTAAAAAAGTAGTAAAAAACAAGCAAAATTAAATGAATGGCCCTTTAGGACACCAAGGAACTGAGAATTTTAGAATGACATATTTGTTTTTCAACATTTTCTTCTGAACAATTTCATTTCACAGAAAAGTTGCAAGAATAATATAATGAACAATCCTATACCAGTCACATTTCTCGTGTTTTGATTTTTGTCTTTCATGACTTTGATATTCTGAGTCACCAAGCCAGCTGTTTTACAAATGCTCTTTAATTTCAGTTTGTTTGATTATTTTCTTATCAATAAAATCAAGTTATAGATATTTGACAGGAATATTGCATAGGTGATACTTTGTCCTTTCCAGAGCTTACATTTTGTGATATGTCAGTTTGTTCCATTAGTGGTAGTCCATTTTTTCACTTCATATTTAACAACAAAAATCAGTTGGTGCCTTTGAGACTGAAAAAACCGTCTCTGAGTAAAAAGTCTCAAATTTGCCAAATGTTCACAAAATGACATAGGCATACATTGATGAATTTTGCATGAATCAGTTATTACTATGATGACTGTAAAATAATTATTTTTCTATTTCCAACATTTCTTTATATTTGTTAGTTGGTATTCTTCTCTGAATAAGAATTTTCTTTTCCCCTTCCCTTTCCAGTTAGATATCAGCAGTAGGAATGCTAGTACTAGTAGTAGAAGTAGTAATATAAATGTGGACTCACAGATTCTCTTTTTATTCAAGGTGGTATTTAATCTATTCCTGCCTTTCATTTTGATGATCAAATTGTCCCAAATTTGGCCAATGAGAGCCACTTTAACTGACTTCTGTGTCTTTTACCATGTCTGATGCAGTTTTATTTTTCACATTTTTTTATTGAGTAATTTATGTTCTATTAAACATTGAGAGAAGTGTCCATATTGTTAATCAAAAGAAATGTAATAAGAAATCAAGTTCTTTCAAAAATGTAAGTCCTTGTTCTATATTTAAGAAGAAACCCATTTTGATATTTTACATACTAGCAAACATTTAAAAAATGACTTTATTAGAAATTCCTAATCTTTATATAAATAAAAACTGTACAGTTGAATATAAAGTGTTATCTACAAATGTACATCAACATTAAGATTATTCTGTTTGAAAAACTTGGTAAACCATAGCATATTGTCATCAGATTTAAAATATGCTATGTGATTATAATAAATAATAAGATACAAATTCTGATAAAATTAAGTGGATAATTTAATCATTTGTCCAGTGCTATGGATTGATTAATTATGTCCCAAAAGTTCATATATTAGAAGCTTAATTCCCACTATAACTGTTGAAAGTGGGAAATGCTATTATGGTGATTGAAAGGTGGGGCCTTGAAGAGGTGATTAGACTGTAGGACCATGCCATAGTGAATGGATTAATAATGGTGGGCAGGGGTGTGGTTCTGAAGACTTAAAGAAGAGAGTGAACGAGGGGTTTAGTCTCTGCTCTCTCTGTTTCCACCATCTTGCAAAGTGAGACCCTAGGTCTCTGTCACTACCACCAAGACTCTTACCAGCTTTGTTCCCTGGATTCTGGACTTCCCAGGCTCCAAAACTGTAAGCAATAAACTTTATTTTCTTACAGATTATTCAGTTCCTTGTGTTTTTTTATAAGCAGCAGAAATGGACTAAAAGATCCAGGAATCAGTTAACATAGTAGAAAAGAAATATAATAAGTATATTCAATTGTTATGTGTTCAAAACCTTGGATTACCATTGCAATAGCTCTATAAGAAATTTGGGCTTAAATATAAAAACTCAAAAGTGATAGGATTTTTTTTTTTTTTTTTGTCTTTTGTCTTTTTCCGTGTCCGGCAACGGATCACAACCCTCAGTGTTGCCCCCGGACCGGACTGGGGACCGGCAACGGGATTGCAACCCTCGGTGTTGCTCCTGCGCCTCGCTCAGCCAGTGAGCGGGAACCGGTATGTATGTGGGATCCGAACCCTCAGGCGGGAGCGCCACCGTGCTTCCCAAGCGGCGCACTTATCCAGTGCGCCACCGGGCCGGCCCAAAAGGGATAGGATTTTGATACAGATAAAGTAACAGTAATTACAGTACACAATCAAATTGTTTTCAGAAAGCATAAACTTGTAAAATCCAATACTTGCACACATGAAGAATACACTAATTAAACCATTTTCCTCTGACAATACTGTCTTTTTTTCCCCCCCCATACTGGGAAAGTTTAAACCTTTGACTACTAGATAGTAAATTTTTCCTCTACTTCTAAAACCTTTCATTAGTATGATAGATTTGTCACACTACTGAACTATATTGACGCATTGTTTATTGAAGTCCTTACTTTGTTTACACACTCTTAGTTTTTACCTCACATTCTATTTCGTGTTCCAGGATCCAATAAGGTAACACATTGCATTTACTTGTCATGTTTCCTAAGGTTCCTGTGGATGTAACAGTTTCTCAGGCTTTCATTATTTTTAATGACCTTGACAGTTTTGAGGAGAATTGGTCAGGTATTTGGTAAAATGCCCCACAACTGAGTTTGTCTAATGCATTCCTCTTGATTAGATATGGTTACGAATTTTTGAGAGGAAGTCATAAGTTTTTGAGGACTTTCTAATTTCTACTCCTGTTTCGTTTGATATAGCTAGGGAATGTGTGTGTGTGCGCGCGCGCGTGCATGTATTGATCATGAGTAACTACTGATTCCTCTAACTCCAATCTAACAACACAGAGTCCTTCCTCTCCTCTGTTTCATTTTTGTATCTCCTTTGTCCCACAGTGAGAACCCTGATTCCATGTAATATCAATATGTTTGCTCATTTCACCAATTCTACAATGCATAAATGGATAAAGAAAATGTGGTATGTATACACAGTGGAACACTGCTCAGCCATAAAAAAGAATAAAATTCTGCCATTTGTAGCAGCATGGATGAACTTGCAGAATATTATGTCAAATGAAATAAGCCAGGCACTGAAAGAAAAAAATACCAAGTTCTCACTCATATGTGGGAGCTAAAAAAAAAACAAAAAACAAAAAACAATTCAATAAATAATAAGATGAACTGTTAAAAGGAGAGAGAAGAACTGTGGTTACTAGAAGCAGGAAGGGTTAGGGGATGGGGGAAGTGAGAGGCTGGTTAATAGATACAAAATTACAGCTAGATAGAAAAAATAAGATCTATTGGTGTACAGTCAACCCCGGAATCTATAATTAACAATGATTTCTTGCATGTTATCAAACAACTAGAAGAGAGGAAATCAAATGTTCACGTCACAAAGAAATGATTAGGTTTTGCAATATGAATATGCTAATTGCCTTGATTAGATCATCACCTATTGTATACACATACTGAAATATGTCTATACCCCATAAACATGTAAAATCAATGTCTCAATAAAAAATTAATTTAAAAAATAATTTTAAAGCTACACGATAATGCTAACAACAACAAGCCCATAGTTTAAAGTTCAAAATGTGTTTACAGTTATTTTAGCCTTAAAATATACTGCAATGAGGGTATATACAGAGAATTATGTCCAAAAATAATCTGGACTTTTTTCCTTCTCTGTAGTAATGGTATCCATTCAATATCCAGATAGGCATATTTCTGTGCTTTCTTCCATCTTTCTTGATGTTACTTTCAGAATATTTACAACATTAACATTGGTTAATAGTAGAATCTATATGAAAAGGTGTATTCAAAGAAATGTTATTTTCCTTTTTGCTTCCCTATCATTCCATTTCTAATCCCTACCCACCATTGCAAGTAGCCAATTTTATTAGTTGCTTATTCATGGCTCCTGTGGGCTTTCTTTACTTTTTTTGGCAAAACTAAGCTAATACACACACACACACACACACACACACACACACACACACACAAACATGAACATACAAATTTATATGTATATATAAATACATATGTATTTTTATGCCCCATTCTTTATTAACAGTAGTAAATCTATTTATTTACTTCTAATAGTATGCCAAACATACTTTTATGCCTTGCTTTTTTCTTTAATTAACCATACACCCCAAAATTACCCTATATTAGTTCATGGAGAATTTTATCATCCTTTTTGCAAGTATTCCATTGTGTGGCTGTGCCAGAGTACACTGGGTTGTTTTTTTCTTAAAGATAATGCTGCAACAAAAAACTGTGTGCATATGTTTTTGCATATTGGAGCTGTGTATTCAGATAGTGGCATTGTTGGACCAAGACATAATATGATTTTCTTTTTTACATTCAGATGTGTTATCCATTTGGAGTTTTTTTCAGGTTTAGTATAAGGCGTGGATTTTATCATTTTTCTAAACAGTTACCCTGCTAATACATCATTATATTTTAAAAGTTCATATTTAACCCAGTGGAATATATTGCCATACTTTTAATGTAAAAGATCTCAGTATGCACTTGGGTCTACTTCTGGACTTTGCGTTTTGTTCCAATTTTCAATTCATTCACACATCAGAACTACACTCTTTTAATTATAAACTCTATAGAAAATATTTTAACATCTTATAGGATTAATTCCCTCCTCTTTAAGGTTTTCCTTTGTACTTAAATGTTTATTTTTCTAGAACTTTAGAAACAAATTGTTTAATATCAGAAAAAAACTTGTCTATTTATTAATATCACAATAGAATTTATAGATTAGTTTAAGTAGAATTTATATGTTTATGATATTGATGTATATCAAGAACAGGGGACTTTTTTCTCCATATTAAAGTACACTTTTGTGGCTTTCAGAAGTGACTTAAAACTTTTGTCATATAGATTTTTGTACATTTCTTCTTAAATTTATTCCTAAATTTCCACCAGTTTTTTTTTTTTTTTTCCTTTTTGTCTTTTTTCGTGTCCAGCAATGGATCGCAACCCTCAGTGTCGCGCCCATACCGGACCGGGACCGGCAACGGGATCGCAAACCTCGGTGCTGCGCCCGCACCTCGCTCAGCCAGTGAGCGGCCGGTCTGTATGTGGAATCTGAACCCTCGGCGGGAGCGCCACCGTGCTCCCAAGCGTCGCACTGTAGCAGTGCGCCACCAGGCCGGCCCAATTTCCACCAGTTTTGTTGCTGTTATAAGTAAAGTTTTCTCTTTAAATATTCATATACAAATGTTATTGATATTCGTATATTAATTGTATATCCTTCTCTCTTAATGAATTTGTATGTTTCAATTCAGTTTTCTAAGTATATTACCATTATATAATTTGCACAGAGATCTTTTACTTTGTCTTTTCCTATCAATATGTCTTATTGTCTAATTATATAGAATAATTTCTCCAATACAATGTTAAATCAATATGAAATTATATTTACAATGTTAAATAGTAATGGAGATAGTAGAAATACTTGCTTTGTAAAAATCTTAATAAAAATGCTTCTAATATTTCCCCATTAAGTGGTGATTTTATGACTGAAGTACCCTCATATATAGATATACACACATACAAATTCAATATACATGTCATGGAAATATATATGTGGGATGTGTGCGTGTGTATCTATATATGAGGGTAGTTCGTGGAAGTTCGTGGAAAGATTTGTATAATCTTTTAATTCTATTTTTCCATAAACTTTTTGCAGTAATCTTGTATGTGTATGCTAAAAAGTGAATATATGTTAAGGAAATCTCTACTATGTATAAATGGGCATATAGTGATTGTGTGTGTGTATGTGTGTGTATCCCATAAATTCTTACTTAATTGAGTACTTTCATGAGGAATACGTGAATTTTGTCACAGGAATTTCAGAATCTGTTGAGGTTTATCACATGATTGTTTTTCTTACATCTAAGATAAATTATGCTAATGAGTTTCTAATAATAACTTTCATATTCTTAGACTAAACTCCACTCAATTTTTATAATTGTTTTATTGGACTGTTTATTCAAATTTTATCTAAGATTTTTATATTAATATTTACAAATGAGATAGGTCTATAGCTGTTTTTTTCTGTGCTATCTTTAACATGTTTATGTATCAATATACATGAGGGTACCTCAAAAAGTTCATGGAAAGATTCACATTATCTTTCCATTTTATTTTTTTGTGAACTTTCTTGAAGTACCCTTGTACTTGCATCATAAAAATTTGTAATTTTTATTGTATTTGGTAAGATTTGGGACAAGTTATACAGCATTGAGATTATCTGTGTTTTTGATAAAATATTTCTTTAATACATTTCTGTATTTCTTCTAGAGGAATTAGTCTATTTAAGCTTTCTTTCTCTACCTGAATCAATTCAAGTAACTTTAATTTTCCTAGTGAATTAACCATTTTATCTACATTTTAAGAGTTTGTTCATGAGGTTAAGTAAAATAACATCTTACGTTTTTTTAATTTTCCCATTTCAATGCTTATTTATCACTTTATAATTACGATTTTATGTATTTGTGCTTTCGTTCTTGAGTGAGTTAGCTCGTGGCTGTCTAGTTTGTTAATTTTTTCAAAAAAATCATTCTTTTAATTTATTCATTAGTTCCACTCTTTCCTCTACTTTATTAACTTCTGCTTTTATTTTGATTATTTTCTTTCTTGTGTTTCTTTCGGTTTGCTTTTGCTCCAACTCTTCAAGTTGGAAATTTCATTCACTTGTTTTCATTATTTTATGCTATCAATATAAATATTTAAAGGTATGAATTATCTTCTGTTTAATGCCTTAAGTATATGCTATACAATCTAATAAGTAGTTTTTCTCAGCATTTTAAGGAAATTCTGCAATTTCAGTTTTCATTTTCCTTTAATAGTGTTACTTAATATCCAGTTGGAAGAGCATTTGCATATATGCTAATTCAAGTGCTGCAAGATTTGATAGGTTTTCAACTTCTCAAATGGGAATTTATATTTCCTGTTATACAAAGGATAAGAGCAACATTCTTTCGTGTGTGTGTATAGATTTCTCTCTATGATAGATATATGGATATAGGTATAGATAACAATGCATATATTAGCTTGGCAGTATCATGTGGTGGTATAACTGTCAGTTAAAATTTTACAGCTGAATGTTGAATTAGCTAACAGAGTGTTTCTTGAGTAGAAGTTCTATACCTACTTCATTTTTAAACTGCCCCACAGACTCTAGCACATTATTGCATGTATCAGGTACAATATATTGTTAAAGAATAATAATATAACATATTTTTATAGAATAAATGTAAGGCAGAAACCATGGAATAAAAAATATCATGGAAAGGAAAGTCAGATTCAATCCCAACTGTGCCAATATGAGAATCTAGGCAAGTTATTTAAATTTAATAAAACTAATTTCTTCATTATTAATGAATAGATTTATCAGAAAAGCAAGAACATCTGCTTAACCTCCAAGATTAAAAATTCTCATATTCTATTACCTGATCCTTTTGTAAGTGATATATATGTATATTTTAAAAATCTTAATACACACCAGGAGCTTATAAACCACTTGTTCTCATTTCCTTCTATCAACCACAAATTATAATTGTTCAAGTGAATGAGACAGGGATGCAGAAGACTCAGCTAGGACCAAACTTCCCTTAATCACTGGTTTCAACTTTATTTCCAAGTGACCTTTAAAATATGCCAAAGAATAGTGAAATTGACTGAAAAACAACTCCTCCTTCTTCCGTCTACAACTCTGTTTTCAGAGTTGCTCATGAACAATGGCTACGTGGAAAATGTTAAAGGATGGAAAAAGTATACATAGGGCAATAAATCCATGAAATAGACCTTTAAATTAGACGTGGGCTTTTTAGTATGATTTAGGCCTAACCACGACCATAACCATAATAATTAAGTTTGTATGAAATATATGATCACTTAAAAATCATTACTCTCAATTTATTATACACCAACAGATGCCTAGAGCTCAACATTATTACTAATGTTTAGCAAATGATTTCTTTTTCAAACCTATTTAAGTTTGACTTTACTACTGCTCCCCAAAACAGTTATCTTCAATGGCATCTATGTTACCAAGTACAGGGGTAATTTATCCCAAACTTTACCACTACACCTCATCCCCACTGCTCACAACACCCCAGTCACTCTCATCTATTGCTTGGGTTATTAAAATAACCACTTCATTGGTTCTCCTGTTTTAGCCCTTGTTGAGAATTCCAGCTGTTTTCCATAATGCAGCCAGTGATTCAGTTAAAATTTAAGTCACATCATGCAACTTTTCTTCTCAGAGCCTTGCACCAAAGTCCCTTCTCTTTCAAGTAAAAGTGCAAACACTTCCGATTTCTACAAGGCCAATGCAATTTTAGCCCCCTTGCATCTCCAACCCCGACTCCTGCTACTCTCCATCTTCCTCATTCTGTACCAGCTGCTTTAACTTTTCAAACACTCCCTCACCTCATGCCATTTACATATGCAGTTTTCTTTACCTAAAATGCCCTTTACACACGTGTGCACATGGCACATGCTGCTCCCTTACTTCCTTTAGGTGCTCCTAATACTAAATATCTTCACTGGTCATTAATACAAAATAGCAATACCCTTGTCCTCTAACTCTGGGGCATACTTCTCTCTAGCACCTTACCACAGACTAACATAATATCCCCACCCCCATTTTTATTTTGCCCAGTTTCTATCTGCTGGAAATTACTTCTGTAGGGTCAAGCAATTTAGTTTTGTTTATTGGTATATCCCCAGTGCCTAGAACTGTGCCTGGTACTAGCATACACTCCAATTAATACTGTAAATAAATGTTGAGTGAACGAATATATTAAAAAAAATCCAACTTTCGACTTGATTTTATTTTAACCAGCAAAACCAGTGCAACAAGAAGTAGATCTTTTGCTGTACAACGTGTCCTCCCTTTAGGCATTTCCCCTGAATTTAATCAAGTCCACACAGCAAAATGTCAGCTATTACCTTGTCCACTTGACACGTCACATTTTGGAATCTGGGAGCAGTAGCCAACTCGGATGTTTGGGTCGGTGGTAAAACACCAGGGTGACTCAGCCCCGTCTGGATTTCGGCAATAATTTTCTCTTAGGTCCCTATTAAGAATAAGCATATTAATGTAAATTGCCTGAGTTCTTACATGGGTAGAGTCAAAGCAATTACATTTCCAGAGGTGCAGAATGTGCCCATGTTTATAATTAGAGTTCTAAGTTTTCAAACTTCGGGTAGTTATAACAAATTAGAATATAGTATACACAACTGACACTGCTTAAATTACTGAAATAAACGCTATTAGATGTGAGTTTTCTTTTCCTTCCACCGCCTGTAGTCCCACGCAAACATTACTGCTTCATGTGAAAAACGGTAGCACAACATTCTTCTCACTTATTCTCAAGATTTGGGCTTTTAACTGTTCTTATTTATTACATTTTCATGACTCATATATAATGTGGAAACATGTATCTCTTTCGAGAAGAAAGGCTACTATTAAAAGTCATTAACTACTCCTCATGTAAAATGGAGGTTCAATCTATTCAAATATCTGTCACAACAAATATCATGATAGCTATTTCTTCTTTGAATTCTGTATTTCTTTGACTTATTTAATTTACTGCATAGATTTATTTTAATTTCAAAATAGTTCTTTCTTAATTTAGAGAAGTTACCTGGTCTTTATAAATATTTCTGTAAAATTAAGGCCTCATTATAGTACAGCAAACTTCACGATAAAGTTGTCAATGTAGTAGTACATGTACATCCTTTATTTCACCATTATTTTAACTAAAATTTAAAATTCCCAATAAGAAAATTATTATTAAAATAATGTTAAAATCATCTGTATTTAAAAAGTCCTTAGTGGTTCTCTATATTAATATAAGATTCACATTAAATAAAGTATAGAGTATATGAATTGTTCCCCTGAATTACATTGTCTAATTTTATGCAAGCAGTTACTTTCTTTTTGTACATCCTACACTAATAATTTAATTAAATTAATATTCAATCTATTGGCTGCCACAGTATTTGTACTACTTAGGTCCTGTGAGAAATACTACAACTTTATTAATACCATCAGAAACTAATAAGTTTTTAAGAAAGAAGCTTATGTTTAGTTAGAAAATCAAAAATTTAAAATAGGTCTTGATATAAACTGTATTATTTAAAGATATGAGAACATTGATTGCCAATAGTTAAAGGCAATATTCAGTAATTGTTTATAGTTATAACCCATTTTCAAACCTTTAGCCTTCTTATAAAATTATTATTAACTAGAATAGATGGAGAAAACTTTTCTTTTAAACCAATTTATACTTATGTTTTAAAAATTTGTCAGTATAAAATATGTGCATTAAATTTTACATAAAATTTACACAAATTTGCAATTTCAGGTGAATAATTGCTCAATTATTTAAAATTGTAATTTAAGGCAAGATAATTAAGTGAAGATCTAGGGCTATCAAAAGTCTTAGTTTGGGCCCACTTTTAAGATTTATATTTAGAAGCACACAACTAATTTAGATTAAGCAAGAATGAGTCAAGGTTTGCCCAATATTTTTCCTAAGTTCTTTCCCTTCCAATTATTCACAATTACTAAAGTGAATTGATGCCTAAATGATTCATCTAGGTTCATCACAGTTAGTATTGTTTAGTTACAGTGTTTCAAAAATGGTCATTTATAAGAGGTCTCAGTATTGGGGCAAGTAATGTTTAATAGAATCAGAGACACCTGACCAGCATATTCCTCCCTGTTGGATCACAAACTAGAAACACTAAATCAATATTCTGAGCAAAATGTTCAGTCAGATTTTATCAGTTTTATAACGCAGCTGTCACACTTTGTTTTTTGATATTTATGTTTGGTTCTTTTGACCAAAACTAAATCAAAAAAGGATGGCTTAAATTTCAATAAGATTTAACAGTTAAACCTTTGATAATTCAGTTTTATCTGTAGAGTCTGTGAATTAAATTTCTTTAAATTATTAAATTATTATCTTTTTCATTCAGATGAAGCTCATTGGGCATTTGCACATGCACAATTTCTTATTGGGGTTATCACCAGTCATTAGAAGTTCACAAAAAATGAATGACATTGACACTGTCTGCTTTGACCCTTTTGACTAATTTTTTCTTATTTTCTTTGCTTTCTATACTTTGATGTTTATTTTTTAGGTATGAAACACATGAGTCAGGAACAGAGAGTGAATTATTATGAAGGAAATGAGAGAAATAAACCCAGAATGACAACTATAAATCTTGTTATTATAAAATAATTTTTAAAATGTTGATAGATGAATATTTACTATATAAGCAAATAAATTACTGAATTTGCTAAAACACACACACTCACACACACACACACGCAAACACAAACATGTCCCCTCTCCAGTGGATGGGCCAACTAGTACTCATAGCTCTTCATCTTGAAATGTTGGGCTGTCTTACTAAAAGCCAATTACATAAAGCCAATATAGATTATTTATAGGTGCTATTTCAGCATAGCCACTATGAATGACATGTGTGATAAATTTCAAAAGCAATCATTTTATGTTTCTCATAACAAAGTGGACAATTTAAAAACACATGGCACTGTGACTGTGTCTGTCCAACAAAAGTCAAGTGGTGAAAAAAGCAGCCACAAAGAACACACATACAGCTATATATTGATAATCAAGGGCAGTGTCTTTGGCTTGATTAATCTTAACTATTGTTTTACTTACCCACTTTTTGAGGCAAATCCAAAAACAATGAAAAATATTCATTTAAGCTTTTAAAAATAGTTTTTGTTCATAGATTTTTAAGTTTGAAAACTCATCAGTTCAAAATGTTGACTGAAATCAAGTTGGGCCTCTTCTAGTAAGAGAAAAAAAATATGTAACGCCCCCTAAAGCTGATATGAAAATTTAAGAAGGCACATGTTTGAAACATGTCTAATTATTATCATTAACCGATTTATTAAATAAACCTACAAGAGCAAAGCTGTGATCAGAAACAACCTAAGAATGTGTTTCCAAAAGCCATGTGCATCAACCCTCTGGCTCAGAATCACCCAGAATGCTTATTAAAATGCATATTTGAGGACCAAATCCCAGACTAAGAAGTCAAAATCTCTGAGTGGAGGAATAATCTGCCTTTTAACTCCTGTTTATCCCTGAGTGCACTAAAGATTGAGTATCACTAACACGGAAATTAGTGAAGTGTAACCACTCTTTCATTTCCCCCAGGGCCTACTGAAATTTATAACATTTGCCTAATTTACTCACTTGCACTTGAAATTTTCAGGAGTTATGTCATGCTGGTGAGGGTACTGGGAATCCCAACGCTGACACGGAATTCCATTCCAAATAGTATTGATGGTGCCCCTGTAACCTTCTCCTTGGCCTCTTATGCATTCAGTTGTTTCCATAGGGACATCAGTGTCATTCAAAGTACTGTGAGCTATTGGTAAAAATATAATATATAAACTTAAATAAGATATTTCGACATGTTGTCTACCGCTTAGAATTCATCTGCATTTGTATTACCAGGATTTTTCTGTCACTTAACAAGTTTTTATAATAATTGAGTGGAATAAGAAATTCAACTTAACATAATTACTATCTCCATTTCAATTTTCCTTTAATTAAAAACCTAAATAATTTATTCTTGGAAAGTTCTTTAAAGGCCTTTTACTTCCACATATCACTATAACTTACATATGCTGAATATGTAGTATTTCTTTTTTTTTTTTTTTTCCTTTTTTTGTCTTTTTTCGTGACCAGCTACAGATCACAACCCTCAGTGTCGCGCCCGTACCGGACCGGGACCGGCACTGGGATCGCAACCCTCGGTGTTGCGCCCGCACCTCGCTCAGCCAGTGAGCGGCCAGTCTGTATGTGGGATCCGAACCCTTGGCGGGAGCGCCACCGCACTTCCCAAGCGGTGCACTGTAGCAGTGCGCCACCGGGCCGGCCCCAATATGTAGTATTTCTTAAATGGCTATATAAATCTCCTTAAAATCAGATTGCTTAACTACATGCAAAGTAGGTAAAAGAATTAACCATGATTTTCCTCTGACATGATAAATACATTCCAAGATGATATGTTAAATTTCTCTTTTTGATCACTTGTTGGTGATAAAGAACAAATCAGTTGTACCTAGGAAAATCTATTTCCTGCTTTTTCTCCTAGTCCAACTTCAATGCTTACCACACTTCATAAAGATCATAAAATCCTCAGTAACTAAGTAAAAAAAAGGTACAAAATAAAAATTTTACCACCATTTAGACTCTCTTTTTGTGTTTAATGTTTACTCATTTAATCAAAATATAACTCAAAACATTCTGGAGTAAATAAAATTATGCTTGATTTCATTGAATTCCATGAACTAAGCTTAGGCAAACTAAGTGTAGCCTATGTATAGAGTTATTCTATAAGCTTTATGAAAAAAAGGAGAAAGTTTACATTAATGACCACTCCAACAACTCAAATATGTATATACAGATTTTCACTAATTTCACTTTTAGTAACTTTGTTTCAACTCATTAAAAATGTTTCAGTTTCTTATGTGTCTATTTTAGAGAATAGAAACATGGCTTAGAAATATCCTACTAAATTGAAAAGAAATTCATATGAAGATTAAAAATTTCCCAAGATTGACCCATAAAGTGATAATTGAGAGCTGATAGCCAGAGAATTAATATATATTGATAATGGTAATATACATTGATTCAGGAAGAACAAAAAAATATTGGACTGGGAGAAATGACTCCTATAGAAAAAGTTGATACTTGTTACCCAAGTCCCTCATAATTTTAATATTTTTACCTAAAGGTCTTTGATAAAATACAAAATAAGATGGATTTCCTAGGTTCTGACCTACTACATTTCATCAAAGTAAATGCCATTAAACATTTATTATTACTATATTTCTGACAATTTAACTATTAAATGATTTCAGGAGACTGAATGTGGGGGGGAAGGCTTTAAAGGGTGATAACTCTAAAACAGGTAAAAAGCTTGTGCTGATATATTTCATATCTAGTTTAAAACTGATACAGAGTAAGACAAAAATAAGTGTCCCCAGAAATCTATCTGTGAAACCATTAGTTTACTATCTAAGCATTTTAAAAAGAAAAGTTTTGATCCTCTACCTCTTGGCCACAAGCTCTTGGGCAGCAAATTTGTGACCTCTGTCGGGACTCAGAGTCCTAACAATGGAAAGGTCAGAGTTAGGGCAGCCAGTGCAAAACCACTTCCTCTAATCTTCTCATGGAGTTCATTGCCTGCCTCGGGTACCTCAACTCTTACTTTCCTACTTGTGTGTGTTTTGTTTCTTTGTGATTTTTTTCTCAATCTTATTTATATTTATTTTTGTGGGGTACAGTGTGTTGTTTCAATACATGCATACACTGCACAATGATTCACTTAGGGTAGACAGCATAGTTTTTTTTTTTTAAGCTACTTAAAGCTTTTATTTTTTTTTTATTATTTTTATTTTGTCAATATACAATGTAGTTGATTATTATGTCCCATCACCGAAACCTCCCTCCCTCCTCCCTCTCCCCCCTCCCACCTGTTAGTCCCTGACTCCTTCTCTCCTTCCCATACTTCTCCCCTCCCAGCCATTATTCCATTATTCTACTCTCTACTTTGTGTAGCATTTCCCATATGTTTTCTTCTACTGGTTTCATAGTTTGGGGTCTTAAGTTTAGGTCTTTGATTCATTTTGAGTTGATTTTTGTGTCTGGTGAGAGATAGGTGTCTAGTTTCAATCTTCTGCATGTGAATATCCAATTTTCTCAGCACCATTCATTGAAGAGGCTGTCCTTCCCCCACAGTATATTCTTGGCACCTTTGTCAAAAATCAGTTGGCTGTAACTGTATGGGTTTGTCTCTGGGCTCTCTATTCTGTTCCATTAGTCTATTTGTCTATATCTATGCAAGTACTGTGCAGTTTTGGTTACTATAGCTTTACAGTATATTTTGAAGTCAGGAAGTGTGATGCCCCAAGTTTGTTCTTTCTGTTCAAGATTGCTTTAGCTGTACAGGGTCTTTTGTGGTTCCACACAGATTTTAAGGTCATTGTTTTCTACTTCTGTGAAGAATGTCATGGGTATTTTGATAGCGATTGCGTTGAATGTGTAGATTGCTTTGGGTAATATAAATATTTTAATGATGTTAATTCTTCTAACCCATGAACATGGAATATTTTTACATTTATTTGTGTCCTCTTCAATTTTTTCACCAATGTTTCATAGTTTTTATTTACTTCTATGTATTTCATTCTTTTGGTAGCTATTGTGAATAGGATTACTTTCTTGATTTCTTCTTCAGCTATTTCATTATTGGTGTATAGAAAGGCTATTGCTTTTTGTGTGTTGATTATTTATCCTGCCACTATACTGAATTCTTTTATTAGTTCTAGTAATTTTTGGTGGAGTTCTCAGGGTTTTCTATGTATATGTTCATGTCATGTGCAAATAGGGATAGTTTGAGCTCCTCATTTCCAATTTGAATACCCTTTATTACTTTCTCTTGCTTTATTGAGCTGGCTAGAACTTCCAGTACCATGTTGAATAAGAGTGGGGAAACTGGAAATCCTTGTATTGTTCCAGATCTTGGAGGAAAAACCTCCAATTTTTACCCATTCAGTATATTAGCTGTGGGTCTGTAATATATGACTTTTATTGTGAAGTACATTCTTTCAATAACTAGTTTGTTGAGTGTTTTTATCATGAAAGGGTGTTAGATTTTATCAAATGCTTTTCTGCATCTATTGAAATGATCATGTTTTTTTCCCTTCATTCTGTTGATGTGATGCATCACGTTTATTGATTTCCATATGTTGAACCGTCTTTGTATCACTGGGATGAAGCCCACTTGATCATGATGAATGATTTTTTTTAATGTGTTGTTGGATTCTGTATGCTGGTATTCTGTTGAGGATTTTCATACCTGTGGTCATTAGGAACATTGGTCTGTAGTTTTCTTTTTGTTGTTGGATCTTTCTCCAGTTTTGATATAAGATTGATGTTGGTCTCATAGAATGAGTTTAGAAGTATTCCAGCCTCTTCAGTTTTTTGGAAGAGTTTGAGAAGAATTGGAATTGGTACTTTTATAAATGTCTGGTAGAATTCAGCAGTAGAGCCATCTGGTCCTGGGGTTTTCTTTGTTAGGAGATTTTTTATTATGTCTTCAGTTTCATTACCTGTTATTGGTCTGTTCAGGTTTTCTAGTTCTTCATGATTCAACCTTAGTAAGTTGTGCGGATCCAGGAATTTATCCATTTCTTCTCAGTCTTCCAGATTCTTTGCATATTGTTGTTCATAGTAGTCTCTTATGATCCTTTGTATTTCTGTGGTATCAGTTGTAATGTCTCCTTTTCCATTTCTAATTTTATTTATTGGAGCCTTCTCTCTTTTTTCTTTGTTAGTCTAGCTAAAGGTTTACCAATTTTGTTTATCTTTTTGAAAAAACACCTTTTGTTTCATCAATCTTTTGTATTGTTTTTTAAAATCCCTAATTCATTTATTTTGCTCTGATCTTTGCTATTTCTCTCCTTCTATTGATTTGGGGTATGGTTTGTTCTTGTTTTTCTGGTTCCTAAGGCGTACATTCGGTTGTTCATTTGATGTCTTTCTTCTTTTTTAATGTAGATATTTATTGCTATAAACTTCCCTCTTAGAACTGCTTTTGCTGTATCTCATAGGTTCTGGTACACTGTGTTTTCATTTTGTTTTTCCCCAGAAAATTTAATTTCCTTTTTTAATTTCTTCTTTGACCCATTCATTGTTTAGGAGCACACTGTTTAATTTCCATGTATTGGTATGGTTTCTAACGTCTCTTTTGTTGTTGATTTCTAGTTTTATTTCACTGTAATTGGACATGATATGATTTTAATTTTTTTAAAATTTGTTGAGCCTTGTTTTGTGACCTAACATATGGTCTATTCTAGAGAATGTTCCATGTGCTGATGAAAAGAATGAGTATTTTCTAGCTGTTGGATAGGATGTTTTATATATGTTTATTAGGTCCAATTGGCCTAGAGTAAAGATTAATTCTGATGTTTTCTGGTTAATTTTCTGTCTGGATGATCTGTCCTTTGCTGAAAGTAGGGTGTCCAATCCCCAACTATTAATGATTTGGAGTCTATTTCTCCCATTAGGTCTAATAGTAATTGCTTTACATCTGGGTGTTCTGGAGTCAGGTGCATATATATTTACAACTATATATCCTCTTATTGAATTGATCTCTTTATCATTATATAAAGACCTTACTTGTCTTTTTTTGCTTTCCTTGGCTTCAAATCTATTTCACTGAAATAAGTGTAGCTACCGCTGCTCTTTCTTGTTTTCCATTTGCATGAAATATCTTTTTCAATCCCATCACTTTCAGTTGTGTGTATTAATCGGTGAAATGAGTTTCTTGTAGGCAGCATACTGTTGGTTCCTGTTTTA